TCTTGAAATCGGCCAAAATCTTCAATTCACGATTTTGGAAAGTTAAGATCTTGAAATCGGGCCAAATCTTCAATTTAGGATTTTGGAAAGCTACGATTTTCAAATCGGCTAAACTCTTAAATTCAGAATTTTGGAAAGCTAAGATGTTGAAATCACCCAAAATCTCGAATTCAGGATTTGGAAAGCTAAGATCTTCAAATCGGCCAAAATCTTGAATTCACGATTTTGGAAAGTTAAGATCTTGAAATCGGGCCAAATCTTCAATTTAGGATTTTGGAAAGCTAAGATTTTCAAACCGGCCAAACTCTAAAATTCAGGATTTTGGAAAGCTAAGATGTTGAAATCACCCAAAATCTCGAATTCAGGATTTGGAAAGCTAAGATCTTCAAATCGGCCAAAATCTTGAATTCACGATTTTGGAAAGGTAAAATCTTCCACACGGCCAAAATCTTGAATTCACGATTTTCAAAAGGTAAGATCTTGAAATCACCCAAAATTTTAAATAAAGGATTTTTGAAAGCTAAAATCTTGAAATCGGCCAGAATCTTCAATTCAGCATATTGGAAAGCTAAGATCTTGACATCGGCCAAAATCTTAAATTCAGGGTTCTGGAAAGGTAAAATCTTGGAATCCGCCAAAGTTTTAAATTTAGGATGTTGGGAAGCTAAGATTTTGACTTCGGCCAAAATCTTGAATTCAGGATTTTTGAAAGCTAAGATCTTAAAATTGGCCAAAATCTTGAATTCAGGATTTTGGAAAGCTAAGATCTAGAAATCGGCCAAAAATCTTGAATTCAGTATTTTTGAAAGCTAAAATCTTGAAATCGGCCAAAATCTTGAATTCAGGATTTTGGAAAGCTAAAATCTTGTATTCTGCCATAATCTTAAATTCATGTTTTTAGAAAGCTAAGACCTTGAAATCGGCCAAAATCTTGAATTCAGGATTTTGGAAAGGTAAAATCTTAAAAACGGCCAAAATCTTGAGTTCAGGATTTTGGAAAGCTAAAAACTTGAAATTGGCCAAAGTCTTGAATTCAGGATTTTGGAAAGCTAAGATCTTTAAATCGGGCCAAATCTTCACTTCAGTATTTGGGAAAGCTAAGATTTTGAAATCGGCCAAAGTCTTCTTTTCAGGATTTTGGGAAATTAAGATATTGAAATCGGCCAAAAACTTCAATTCAGGATTTTGACAAGCTAAGATCTTAAAATCACCCAAAATCTAAGATCTTGAAATCGGCCAAAATCTTGAATTCAGGATTTTCAAATGCTAAAATCTTGAAATCGCCCAAAATCTTGAATTTAGGATTTGGAAAGCTAAGATCTTCAAATCTTGCAAAATCTTGAATTCACGATTTTGGAAAGGTAAAATCTTCAAATCGGCCACAATCTTAAATTCAGGATTTTGGAACGCTAAGATCTTGACATTGTCTAAAATCTTAAATTCAGGGTTCTGGAAAGGTAAAGTCTTGGAATCCGCCAAAATCTTGAATTCAGGATTTTCGTAAGCTAATATCTTGAAATCGGCTAAAATCGTGAATTTAAGGATTTTGGAAAGCTAAGATCTTGAAATCGCCCAAAGTGTTGAACTGACAATTTGGAAACCTAAGATTTTAAAATCGCCCAAAATCTTGAATTCACTATTTTGGAAACGTAAAATCTTCAAATCGGCCATAACCTTGAATTCACGATTTTGGAAAGCTAAAATCTTGAAATCGGCCAAAATCTTGAATTCAGGATTTCGGAAAGCTAACATCTTGAAATCGGCCAAAATCTTGAATTCACGATTTTTCAAAGCTAAAATCTTGAATTCACGATTTTTGAAAGCTAAGATCTTGAAATCACCCAAAATCTTAAATTAAGGATTTTTGAAAGCTAAAATCTTGAAATTGGCCAGAATCTTCAATTCAGTATTTTGGAAAGCTAAGATCTTGACATCGGCCAAAATGTTAAATTCAGGGTTCTGGAAAGGTAAGGATTTTGGAAAGCAAAGTAATAGAAATCGGCCAAAATCTTGAATTCAGGATTTTGGAAAGCTAAAATGTTGAAATCGGCCAAAATCATGAATTCTGGATTTTGGAAAGCTTAAATCTCGAAATCGGCCAAAATCTTGAATTCAGGATTGGGGAAAGCCAAGATCTTGAAATCAGCCTAAGTCTTGAATTCAGGATTTTGGAAAGCTTTAATCTTGAAATCGGTAAAAATCTTTAAATCGGCCAAAATCTTGAATTCAGGATTTTGGAAAGCAAAGATCTTGAAATCGGCCAAAATCTTGAATTCACGATTTTGGAAAGCTCAGCTCTTAAAATCGGCCAAGTTCTTGAATTGAGGACTTGGAAAAACTAAGATCTTGAAATCGGCTAAATTCTTGAATTTACTAATTTTGGAAAGGTAAAATCTTATAATCGGCCAAAATGCTTAATTCAGCATTTCGGAAAGGTAAAATCTTGAAATCTGCCAAAATCTTCAATTCAGGATATTGGAAAGCTAAGATCTTGACATCGCAGAAAATCTTGAATTCACGATTTTTGAAAGCTCAAATCTTGATATCGGCAAAAATCTTGAATTAATGATTTTCGAATGCTAAGATCTTAAAATCGGCCAATATCCTGAATTCAGGATTTTTTAAAACTAAAATCTTGAAATCGCCCAAATCTTGAATTCAGGATTTTCGAAAGCTTAGCTCTTAAAATCGGCCAAAATGTTGAATTCAGGATTTTTGAAAACTAAAATCTTGAAATTGGCACAAATCTTGAATTCAGGATTTTGGAAAGCTAAGATCTTGAAATCGGCCCAAATCTTGAATTCATGATTCTCGAATGCTAAGATCTTAAAATCGGCCAATATCCTGAATTCAGGATTTTTTAAAACTAAAATCTTGAAATCGCCCAAATCTTGAATTCAGGATTTTCGAAAGCTTAGCTCTTGAAATCGGCCAAAATCTTGAATTCAGGATTTTGGAAAGCTTAAATCTCGAAATCGGCCAAAATCTTGAATTCAGGATTGGGGAAAGCCAAGATCTTGAAATCAGCCTAAGTCTTGAATTCAGGATTTTGGAAAGCTTTAATCTTGAAATCGGTAAAAATCTTTAAATCGGCCAAAATCTTGAATTCAGGATTTTGGAAAGCAAAGATCTTGAAATCGGCCACAATCTTGAATTCACGATTTTGGAAAGCTCAGCTCTTAAAATCGGCCAAGATCTTGAATTCAGGACTTAAAAAAACTAAGATCTTGAAATCGGCTAAACTCTTGAATTTACGATTTTGGAAAGGTAAAATCTTAAAATCTTCCAAAATGCTTAATTCAGGATTTCGGAAAGGTAAAATCTTGAAATCCGCCAAAATCTTGAATTCAGGATATTGGAAAGCTAAGATCTTGACATCGGAGAAAATCTTGAATTCACGATTTTTGAAAGCTAAAATCTTGAAATCGGCACAAATCTTGAATTCAGGATTTTGGAAAGCTAAGATCTTGAATTCGGCCAAAATCTTGAATTCAGGATTTTGGAAAGCTAAGATCTTGAAATCGGCCCAAATCTTGATTTCATGATTTTCGAATGCTAAGATCTTGAAATCGGCCAAAATCCTGAATTCAGGATTTTTGAAAATTAAAATCTTGAAATTGGCACAAATCTTGAATTCAGGATTTGGGAAAGCTAAGATCTTGAAATCGGCCCAAATCTTGAATTCATGATTTTCGAATGCTAAGATCTTAAAATCGGCCAAAATCCTGATTTCAGGATTTTTGAAAACTAAAATCTTGAAATTGGCACAATCTTGAATTCAGGATTTTGGAAAGTTAAGATCTTGTAATCGGCCCAAATCTTGAATTCATGATTCTCGAATGCTTTGATCTTAAAATCGGCAAATATCCTGAATTCAGGATTTTTTAAAACTAAAATCTTGAAATCGCACAATTCTTGAATTCAGGATTTTGGAAAGCTTAGCTCTTAAAATCGGCCAAAATCTTGAATTCAGGATTTTGGAAAGCTAAGATCTTGAAATCGGCCAAAATCTTGAATGAAGCATTTTGGAAAGGTAAAATCTTGAAATCCGCCAAAATCTTGAATTCTGGATTTTGGAAAGCTAAAATCTTGAAATGGGCCAAACTCTTGAATTCATGATTTTTGGAGAGCTAAAATCTTGAAATCGACCAAAATCTTGAATTCGGGATTTTGGAAAGCTAAGATATTAAAATTGGCCAAAAACTTGAATCCAGGATTTTTAAAAGCTAAGAGCTTGAAATCACCCCAACTCTTGAATTGAGGATTTTGGAAAAGCTAAGATATTGAAATCGGCCAAAAACTTGAATCCAGGATTTTGAAAAGCTAAGATCTTTAAATCACCGAAAATCTTGAATTTAGGATTTGGAAAGCTAAGATCTTCAAATCGGCCAAAATCATGAATTCACGATTTTGGAAAGGTAAAATCTTGAAATCGGCCAAAATATTGATTTTACGATTTTGGAAAGCTAAAATCTTGAAATTACCCAAAATCTTAAAACAAGAATTTTTGAAAGCTAAAATCTTGAAATCGGCCAGAATCTTGAATTCATGATTTTGGAAAGCTTTAATCTTGAAATCGGCAAAAATCTTGAAATAAGCCAAAATCTTGAATTCAGGATTTTGGAAACCAAAGATCTTGAAATCGGCCAAAATCTTGAATTCACGATTTTGAAAAGCTCAGCTCTTAAANCAAAATCTTAAAACAAGAATTTTTGAAAGCTAAAATCTTGAAATCGGCCAGAATCTTGAATTCATGATTTTGGAAAGCTTTAATCTTGAAATCGGCAAAAATCTTGAAATAAGCCAAAATCTTGAATTCAGGATTTTGGAAACCAAAGATCTTGAAATCGGCCAAAATCTTGAATTCACGATTTTGAAAAGCTCAGCTCTTAAAATCGGCCAAGATCTTGAATTCAGTATTTGGAAAAACTAAGATCTTGAAATCGGCTAAATTCTTCAATTTACGATTTTGGAAAGGTAAAATCTTATAATCGGCCAAAATGCTTAATTCAGCATTTCGGAAAGGTAAAATCTTGAAATCTGCCAAAATCTTGAATTCAGGATATTGGAAAGCTAAGATCGTGACATCGGCCAAAATCTTGAATTCAGGATTTTTGAAAGCTAAAATCTTGAAATCGGCCAAAATCTCGAATTCAGGATTTTGAAAAGCTAAGATCTTGAAATCGCCCAAAATCTTGAATTTAGGATTTGGAAAGCTAAGATCTTCAAATCATGCAAAATCTTGAATTCACGATTTTGGAAAGGTAAAATCTTCAAATCGGACAAAATCTTGAATTCACGATTTTTGAAAGCTAAGGTCTCGAAATCGGTTACAATCTTAAATTAAGGATTTTTGAAAGCTAAAATCTTGAAATCGGCCACAATCTTAAATTCAGGATTTTTGAAAGCTAAGATCTTGACATTGGCTATAATCTTAAATTCTGGGTTCTGAAAAGGTAAAGTCTTGGAATCCGCCAAAATCTTGAATTCAGGATTTTCGTAAGCTAATATGTTGAAATCGGCTAAAATCTTAAATTTAAGGATTTTGGAAAGCTAAGATCTTGAAATCGACCAAAGTGTTGAACTGACAATTTGGAAAGCTAAGATCTTAAAATCGCCCAAAATCTTGAATTCACTATTTTGGAAACGTAAAATCTTCAAATCGGCCATAACCTTCAATTCACGATTTTTGAAAGCTAAAATCTTGAAATCGGCCAAAATCTTGAATTCAGGATTTTGGAAAGCTAACATCTTGAAATCGGTAAAAATCTTGAATTCACGATTTTTCAAAGCTAAAATCTTGAAATCGGCCAAAATCTTGAATTCACGATTTTTGAAAGCTAAGATCTTGAAATCACTCAGAATCTTAAATTAAGGATTTTTGAAAGCTAAAATCTTGAAATTGGCCAGAATCTTAAATTCAGTATTTTGGAAAGCTAAGATCTTGACATCGGCCAAAATGTTAAATTCAGGGTTCTGGAAAGGTAAAATTTTGGAATCCGCCAAAAATCTAGAGTTTAGGATTTTGGAAAGCAAAGTAATAGAAATCGGCCACAATCTTGAATTCAGGATTTTGGAAAGCTAAAAGTTTGAAATCGGCCAAAATCTTGAATTCAGGATGTTGGAAAGCTTAAATCTCGAAATCGGCCAAAATCTTGAATTCAGGATTGGGGAAAGCCAAGATCTTGAAATCGGCCTAAGTCTTGAATTCAGGATTTTGGAAAGCTTTAATCTTGAAATCGGTAAAAATCTTTAAATCTTCCAAAATCTTGAATTCAGGATTTTGGAAAGCAAAGATCTTGAAATCGGCCAAAATCTTGAATTCACGATTTTGGAAAGCTCAGCTCTTAAAATCGGCCAAGTTCTTGAATTGAGGACTTGGAAAAACTAAGATCTTGAAATCGGCTAAATTCTTGAATTTACTAATTTTGGAAAGGTAAAATCTTATAATCGGCCAAAATGCTTAATTCAGCATTTCGGAAAGGTAAAATCTTGAAATCTGCCAAAATCTTCAATTCAGGATATTGGAAAGCTAAGATCTTGACATCGCAGAAAATCTTGAATTCACGATTTTTGAAAGCTCAAATCTTGATATCGGCACAAATCTTGAATTCAGGATTTTGGAAAGCTAAGATCTTGAATTCGGCCAAAATCTTTAATTCAGGATTTTGGAAAGCTAGGATCTTGAAATCGGCCCAAATCTTGAATTAATGATTTTCGAATGCTAAGATCTTAAAATCGGCCAATATCCTGAATTCAGGATTTTTTAAAACTAAAATCTTGAAATCGCCCAGATCTTGAATTCAGGATTTTCGAAAGCTTAGCTCTTAAAGTCGGCCAAAATGTTGAATTCAGGATTTTTGAAAACTAAAATCTTGAAATTGGCACAAATCTTGAATTCAGGATTTTGGAAAGCTAAGATCTTGAAATCGGCCCAAATCTTGAATTCATGATTCTCGAATGCTAAGATCTTAAAATCGGCCAATATCCTGAATTCAGGATTTTTTAAAACTAAAATCTTGAAATCGCCCAAATCTTGAATTCAGGATTTTCGAAAGCTTAGCTCTTAAAATCGGCCAAAATCTTGAATTCAGGATTTTGGAAAGCTAAGATCTTGAAATCGGCCAAAATCTTGAATAAAGCATTTTGAAAAGGTAAAATCTTGAAAACCGCCAAAATCTTGAATTCTGGATTCTGGAAAGCTAAAATCTTGAAATCGACCAAAATCTTGAATTCGGGATTTTGGAAAGCTAAGATACTAAAATTGGCCAAAAACTTGAATCCAGGATTTTTAAAAGCTAAGAGCTTGAAATCACCCAAACTCTTGAATTCAGGATTTTGGAAAGCTAAGATATTGAAATCGGCCAAAAACTTGAATCCAGGATTTTGAAAAGCTAAGATCTTTAAATCACCGAAAATCTTGAATTTAGGATTTGGAAAGCTAAGATCTTCAAATCGGCCGAAATCATGAATTCACGATTTTGGAAAGGTAAAATCTTGAAATCGGCCAAAATCTTGATTTCACGATTTTGCAAAGCTAAAATCTTGAAATTACTTAAAATCTTAAATCAAGAATTTTTGAAAGCTAAAATCTTGAAATCGGCCAGAATCTTAAATTCAGCATTTTGGAAAGCTAAGATCTAGAAATCGGCCAAAATCTTGAATTCAGGATGTTGGAAAGCTTAAATCTCGAAATCGGCCAAAATCTTGAATTCAGGATTGGGGAAAGCCAAGATCTTGAAATCGGCCTAAGTCTTGAATTCAGGATTTTGGAAAGCTTTAATCTTGAAATCGGTAAAAATCTTTAAATCGGCCAAAATCTTGAATTCAGGATTTTGGAAAGCAAAGATCTTGAAATCGGCCAAAATCTTGAATTCACGATTTTGGAAAGCTCAGCTCTTAAAATCGGCCAAGTTCTTGAATTGAGGACTTGGAAAAACTAAGATCTTGAAATCGGCTAAATTCTTGAATTTACTAATTTTGGAAAGGTAAAATCTTATAATCGGCCAAAATGCTTAATTCAGCATTTCGGAAAGGTAAAATCTTGAAATCTGCCAAAATCTTCAATTCAGGATATTGGAAAGCTAAGATCTTGACATCGCAGAAAATCTTGAATTCACGATTTTTGAAAGCTCAAATCTTGATATCGGCACAAATCTTGAATTCAGGATTTTGGAAAGCTAAGATCTTGAATTCGGCCAAAATCTTTAATTCAGGATTTTGGAAAGCTAGGATCTTGAAATCGGCCCAAATCTTGAATTAATGATTTTCGAATGCTAAGATCTTAAAATCGGCCAATATCCTGAATTCAGGATTTTTTAAAACTAAAATCTTGAAATCGCCCAGATCTTGAATTCAGGATTTTCGAAAGCTTAGCTCTTAAAGTCGGCCAAAATGTTGAATTCAGGATTTTTGAAAACTAAAATCTTGAAATTGGCACAAATCTTGAATTCAGGATTTTGGAAAGCTAAGATCTTGAAATCGGCCCAAATCTTGAATTCATGATTCTCGAATGCTAAGATCTTAAAATCGGCCAATATCCTGAATTCAGGATTTTTTAAAACTAAAATCTTGAAATCGCCCAAATCTTGAATTCAGGATTTTCGAAAGCTTAGCTCTTAAAATCGGCCAAAATCTTGAATTCAGGATTTTGGAAAGCTAAGATCTTGAAATCGGCCAAAATCTTGAATAAAGCATTTTGAAAAGGTAAAATCTTGAAAACCGCCAAAATCTTGAATTCTGGATTCTGGAAAGCTAAAATCTTGAAATCGACCAAAATCTTGAATTCGGGATTTTGGAAAGCTAAGATACTAAAATTGGCCAAAAACTTGAATCCAGGATTTTTAAAAGCTAAGAGCTTGAAATCACCCAAACTCTTGAATTCAGGATTTTGGAAAGCTAAGATATTGAAATCGGCCAAAAACTTGAATCCAGGATTTTGAAAAGCTAAGATCTTTAAATCACCGAAAATCTTGAATTTAGGATTTGGAAAGCTAAGATCTTCAAATCGGCCGAAATCATGAATTCACGATTTTGGAAAGGTAAAATCTTGAAATCGGCCAAAATCTTGATTTTACGATTTTGCAAAGCTAAAATCTTCAAATTACTTAAAATCTTAAATCAAGAATTTTTGAAAGCTAAAATCTTGAAATCGGCCAGAATCTTAAATTCAGCATTTTGGAAAGCTAAGATCTAGAAATCGGCCAAAATCTTGAATTTAGGATTTTGGAAAGCTAGGATCTTGAAATCGGCCCAAATCTTGAATTCATGATTTTCGAATGCTAAGATCTTAAAATTTCCGAAAATCTTGAATTTAGGTTTTTGGAAACCCAAGATCTTAAAATCGGTCTAAGTCGTGAATTCAGGATTTTGGAAAGCTTTAATCTTGAAATTGGGAAAAATCTTTAAATCGGCCAAAATCTTGAATTCAGGATTTTGGAAAGCTAAGATCTTGTAATTCGCCAAAATCTTGAATTCACGATTTTGTAAAGCTCAGCTCTTAAAATCGGCCAAGATCTTGAATTCAGGATTTTGAAAAACTAAGATCTTGAAATCGGCTAAAATCTTGAATTTACGATTTTGGATAGGTAAAATCTTAAAATCGGCCAAAATGCTTAATTCAGGATTTCGGAAAGGTAAAATCTTGAAATCGGCCAAAATCTTGAATTCAGGATATTGGAAAGCTAAGATCGTGACATCGGCCAAAATCTTGAATTTAGGATTTTTAAAAGCTAAAATCTTGACATCGGCGCAAATCTTGAATTTAGGATTTTGGAAAGCTAAGATCTTGAATTCGGCCAAAATCTTGAATTCAGGATTTTGGAAAGCTAAGATCTTGAAATCGGCCCAAATCTTGAATTCATGATATTCGAATGCTAAGATCTTAAAATCGGCCAAAATCCTGAATTTAGGATTTTTGAAAGCTAAAATCTTGAAATCGCACAAATCTTAAATTCAGGATTTTGGAAAGCTAAGATCTTGAAATCGGCCAAAATCTTGAATTCATTATTTTGGAAAGGTGAAATCTTGAAATCGGCCAAAATCTTGAATTCAGGATTTTCGAAACGTAAAATCCTCAAATCGGCCATTATCTTGAATTTACGATTTTGGAAAGCTAACATCTTAAAATGGGCCAAAATCTTAAGCTAAGGATTTTTAAAAGCTGAAATATTGAAATCGGCCAAAATCTTGAATTCATCATTTTGGAAAGCTAAGATCTTGCAATCGGTCAAAATCTTGAATTCAGGATTTTGGAAAGCTTAGCTCTCAAAATCGGCCAAAATCTTGAATTCAGGGTTTTGGAAAGCTAAGATCTTGAAATCGGCCAATATCTTGAATCAAGGATTTTGGAAAGGTAAAATCTTGAAATCCGCCAAAACCTTGAATTCAGGATTTTGGAAAGCTAAAATCTTGAAATGGCCCAAAGTCTTGAATTCATGATATTGGAGAGCTAAAATCTTGAAATCACCCAAATCTTGAATTCAGGATTTTGGAAAGCTAAGATCTTGAATTCGGCCAAAATCTTGAATTCAGGATTTTGGAAAGCTAAAATGTTGAAAGCGGCCAACATCCTGAATTCTTGATTTTGGAAAGCTTAAATCTCGAAATCGGCCAAAATCTTGAGTTCAGGATTTTGGAAAGCTAAGATCTTGTAATTAGCTAAAATCTTGAATTCACGATTTTGTAAAGCTCAGCTCTTAAAATCGGCCAAGATCTTGAATTCAGGATTTTGAAAAACTAAGATCTTGAAATCGGCTAAAATCTTCAATTTACGATTTTGAAAAGGTAAAATCTTAAAATCGGCCAAAATGCTTAATTCAGGATTTCGGAAAGGTAAAATCTTGAAATCGCACAAATTATGAATTCAGGATTTTGGAAAGCCAAGATCTTGAATTCGGCTAAAATCTTGAATTCAGGATTTTGGAAAGCTAAGATCTTGAAATCGGCCCAAATCTTGAATTCATGATTTTCGAATGCTAAGATCTTAAAATCGGCCAAAATCCTCAATTTAGGATTTTTGAAAGCTAAAGTCTTGAAATCGCAAAAATCTTAAATTCAGGATTTTGGAAAGCTAAGATCTTGAAATCGGCCCAAATCTTGAATTCATGATTTTCGAATGCTAAGATCTTAAAATCGGCCAAAATCCTCAATTTAGGATTTTTGAAAGCTAAAGTCTTGAAATCGCAAAAATCTTAAATTCAGGATTTTGGAAAGCTAAGATCTTGAAATCGGCCAAAATCTAGAATTCAGCATTTTGGAAAGGTGAAATCTTGAAATCGGCCAAAATCTTGAATTCAGGATTTTGGAAAGCTAAAATGTTGAAAGCGGCCAACATCCTGAATTATTGATTTTGGAAAGCTTAAATCTCGAAATCGGCCAAAATCTTGAATTCATGATTTTCGAATGCTAAGATCTTAAAATCGGCCAAAATCCTTAATTTAGGATTTTTGAAAGCTAAAATCTTGAAATCGCACAAATCTTAAATTCAGGATTTTGGAAAGCAAAGATCTTGAAATCGGCCAAAATCTTGAATTCAGCATTTTGGAAAGGTGAAATCTTGAAATCGGCCAAAATCTTGAATTCAAGATTTTCCAAACGTAAAATCCTCAAATCGGCCATAATCTTGAATTTACGATTTTGGAAAGCTAACATCTTGAAATGGGCCAAAATCTTAAACTAAGGATTTTTAAAAGCTAAAATATTGAAATCGGCCTGAATCTGAAATTCAGGATTTTGGAAAACTAAGATCTTGACATCGTCTAAAATCTTGAATTTAGTTTTCTGGACAGGTAAAATGTTGAAATCTGCCAAAATTTTGAATACAGGATTTTTGAAAGCTAAGATCTTGAAATCGGCCAAAATCTTCAATTCATCATTTTGGAAAGCTAAGATCTTGCAATCGGTCAAAATCTTGAATTCAGGATTTTGGAAAAGTAACATCTTGAAATCGGCCCAAATCTTGAATTCAGGATTCTCGAATGCTAAGATCTTGAAATCCGCCGAAATCATGAATTGAGAATTTTGGAAAGCTAAGATCTTGAAATCGCCCAAGATCTTCGATTTAGGATTAGGAAAGCTAAGATCTTCAAATCGGCCAAAATCATGAATTCACGATTTTGGAAAGATAAAATCTTCAAATCGGCCAAAATCTTAAAATTGGCAAAAATCTTGAATTCACAATTGTGGAAAGCTAAAATCTTGAAATCGGTGAAAATCTTGAATTCACAATTTTTGGCAGCTAAAATCTCGAAATCGGCCAAAATCTTGAATTCAGGATTTTGAAAAGCTAAGATCTGGAAATGGGCCAACATCTTGAATTGAGAATTTTGTAAAGCTAAGATCTTGAAATCGGCCAAAATCTTGAATTCAGGATTTTGAAATGCTAAGATCTTGAAATCGTCCAAAATCTTAAATTCAGGATTAGGAAAGCTAAGATCTTCAAATCGTCCAAAATCTTGAATTCAGGATTTTGGAAAGCTAAAATCTTGAAATCGGCCAAACTCTTTAATTCAGGATTTTGGAAACCTAAAATCTTGAAATTGGCAAAAATTTTGAATTCAGAATTTTGGAAAGCTAAAATCTTCAAATCGGCTAAAATCTTAAATTAAGGATTTTGGAAACCTAAGATCTTGAAATCGGCCAAAATCTTGAACTCAGGATTTTGAAAAGCTAAAAACTTAAAATCGGCCAAAATCTTGAATTCAGGATTTTGGAAAGTTAAGTTCTTCAAATCGTCCCAAATCTTGAATTCAGGATTTTGGAAAGCTAAGATCTTGAAATCGGGCCAAATCTTCAATTCAGGAGTTTGGAAAGCTACGATTTTGACATCGGCCAAAATCTTAAATTCAGGATTTATGAAAGCTAAGATATTGAAATTGGCGAACATCTTGAATTTAGGATCTTGCAAAGCTAAAATGTTGAAATTGGCCAAAATCTTGATTCAGGATTATGCAAAGCTTAAATCTTAAAATCGGCCAAGATCTTGAATTCAGGATTAGGGAAAGCTAAGATCTTGAAATCGGCCTGAGTCTTTAATTCAGGATTTTGGAAAACTTAAATCTTGAAATCGGGTTAAATCTTGAATTTGGCCAAAATCTTGAATTTCGGATTTTGGAAAGCTAAGGTCTTGAATTCGGCCAAAATCTCGATTTCAGGATTTTGGAAAGCTAAGATCTTGAAATCAGCCAAAATCTTGAATTCAGGATTTTGGAAAGGTAAAATCATGAAATCGTCCAAAATCTTCAATTCAGGATTTTGGAAAGCTAAAATGTTCAAATCGGCTAAAATCTTACATTCAGGATTTTGGAAAGCTAAGATCTTGAAATCGGCCAAAATCTTGAATTCACGATTTCGTAAAGCTATGATCTTCAAATCGCCAAAAATCTTGAATTCACGATTTTGAAAGCTTAAAATCTTCAAATCCGCCATAATCTTAAATTCACGATTTTGGAAAGCTAAAATCTTGAAATCCGCCAAAATCTTGAATTCACGATTTTGTAAAGCTAAGATCTTCAAATCGCCAAAAATCTTGAATTCACGATTTTGAAAGCTTAAAATCTTCAAATCCGCCATAATCTTAAATTCACGATTTTGGAAAGCTAAAATCTTGAAGTCCGCCAAAATCTTGAATTCACGGTTTTGGGAAGCTAACATCTTGAAATCGGTTAAAATCTTAAACTAACGATTTTTGAAAGCTAAAATCATGAAATCGGCCAGAATCTAAAATTCAGAATTTTGGAAAGCTAAGATCTTCACATCGGCAAAAATCTTAAATTCAGGGTTCTGGAAAGGTAAAATCTTGAAATCGGCCAAAATTTTCACATCAGGATTTTCGAAAGCTAAGATCTTGAAATCGGCCAATATCTTGAATTCACGATTTTGGAAAGCTAAAATCTTAAAATCAGCCAAAATCTTGAATTCAGGATTTTGGAAAGCTAAATTCTTGAAATCGGCCAGAATCTTAAAATCAGGATTTTGGAAAGCTAAGATCTTGACTTCGGCTAAAATCTTAAATTCAGTGTTTTGGAAAGGTAAAATCTTGAAATCCGCCAAAATTTTGAATTCAGGATTTTCGAAAGCTAAGACCGTGAAGTCGGCCAAAATCTTGAAATCAGATTTTGGAAAGCTAAAATCTTGAAATCGGTAAAAATCTCGATTTCTGGATTTTGGAAAGCTTAAATCTTGAAATCGGCCAAAATCTTGAATTCAGGATTTTGGAAAGGTAAAATCATGAAATCGTCCAAAATCTTCAATTCAGGATTTTGGAAAGCTAAAATGTTCAAATCGGCTAAAATCTTACATTCAGGATTTTGGAAAGCTAAGATCTTGAAATCGGCCAAAATCTTGAATTCACGATTTCGTAAAGCTATGATCTTCAAATCGCCAAAAATCTTGAATTCACGATTTTGAAAGCTTAAAATCTTCAAATCCGCCATAATCTTAAATTCACGATTTTGGAAAGCTAAAATCTTGAAATCCGCCAAAATCTTGAATTCACGATTTTGTAAAGCTAAGATCTTCAAATCGCCAAAAATCTTGAATTCACGATTTTGAAAGCTTAAAATCTTCAAATCCGCCATAATCTTAAATTCACGATTTTGGAAAGCTAAAATCTTGAAGTCCGCCAAAATCTTGAATTCACGGTTTTGGGAAGCTAACATCTTGAAATCGGTTAAAATCTTAAACTAACGATTTTTGAAAGCTAAAATCATGAAATCGGCCAGAATCTAAAATTCAGAATTTTGGAAAGCTAAGATCTTCACATCGGCAAAAATCTTAAATTCAGGGTTCTGGAAAGGTAAAATCTTGAAATCGGCCAAAATTTTCACATCAGGATTTTCGAAAGCTAAGATCTTGAAATCGGCCAATATCTTGAATTCACGATTTTGGAAAGCTAAAATCTTAAAATCAGCCAAAATCTTGAATTCAGGATTTTGGAAAGCTAAATTCTTGAAATCGGCCAGAATCTTAAAATCAGGATTTTGGAAAGCTAAGATCTTGACTTCGGCTAAAATCTTAAATTCAGTGTTTTGGAAAGGTAAAATCTTGAAATCCGCCAAAATTTTGAATTCAGGATTTTCGAAAGCTAAGACCGTGAAGTCGGCCAAAATCTTGAAATCAGATTTTGGAAAGCTAAAATCTTGAAATCGGTAAAAATCTCGATTTCTGGATTTTGGAAAGCTTAAATCTTGAAATCGGCCAAAATCTTGAATTCAGGATTTTCGAAAGCTAAGCTCTTAAAATCGGCTAAGATTTTGAATTTAGGGTTTTGGAAAGCTAAGATCTTAAAATCGGCAAAAATCTTGATTTCAGGATTGTCGAAAGGTAAAATGTTAAAATAGGCCAAACTCTTGAATTCAGGATTTTGAAAAGATAAAATCTTGAAATCGGCCAAAATCTTGAATTCAGAATTTTGCGAAGCTAAAATCTTGAAATCGGCACCACTCTTGACTTCAGGATTTTCTAAAGCTAAGATCTTGAAATCGGCCAAAATCTTGAATTCAGGATTTCGCAAAGGTAGAATCTTGAAATCGGGCAAAATTTTGAATTCAGGATTTTGGAAAGCTAAAATCTTGAAATCGGCCAAAATCTTGAATTCAGGATTTTGGAAAGCTAAGATCCTGAAATCGGCCCAAATCTTGAATTCAGGATTTGGGAAAGGTAACATCTTGAAATCGGCCAAAATCTTTTATTCACGACTTTAGAAAGGTAAAATCTTCAAATCGCGAAAAATCTTGAATTCACGATTTTGGAAATATAAGATCTTGACATCGGCCAATATCTTGAATTCAGGATTTTGAAAAGCTAAGATCTTGAAATCGCCTAAAGTATTGAAATGAGGATTTGAAAAGCTAAGATCTTCAAATCGGCCAGACTCTTTAATTTACGATTTGAGAAAGGTAAAATCTTGAAATCGGCCAAAATCTGGAATTCACGATTTTGGAAAGCTAAGATCTTGAAATCGACGCAAATCTTGAATTCAGGATTTTGAAAAGCTAAGATCTTGAAATCGGCCAAAATCTTGAGTTCAGCATTTTGGAAAGCTAAGATCTTGAAATCGGCCAAAATCTTGAGTTCAGCATTTTGGAAAGCTAAGATCTTGAAATCGGCCAAAATATTGAATTCAGTGTTTTGGAAAGCTAAGATCTTGATATCGGCCAAAATCTTGAAATAAGGATTTTGAAAAGCAAAAATCTTAAAATCGGCCAAAATCTTGAATTCTGGATTTTGGAAAGCTAAAATCTTGAAATCGGTAAAAATCTCGATTTCTTGATTTTGGAAAGCTTAAATCTTGAAATCGGCCAAAATCTTGAATTCAGGATTTTCGAAACCTAAGCTCTTCAAATCGGCCAAGATTTTGAATTCAGGGTTTTGGAAAGCAAAGATCTTAAAATCGGCAAAAATCTTGATTTCAGGATTGTCGAAAGGTAAAATGTTAAAATCGGCCAAACTCTTGAATTCAGGATTTTGAAAAGCTAAAATGTTGAAATCGGCCAAAATCTTGAATTCAGAATTTTGCAAAGCTAAAATCTTGAAATCGGCCAGAAACTTGAATTCAGGATTTTGAAAAGCTAAGATCTTGAAATCGGCCAAAATCTTGAATTCAGGATTTTGGAAAGCTAAGATCTTGAAATCGGCTAAAATCTTGAATTTAGGAATTTTGAAAGCTAAAATCTTGAAATCGGCACCCATCTTGACTTCAGGATTTTCTAAAGCTAACATCTTGAAATCGGCCAAAATCTTGAATTCAGGATTTTGCAAAGGTAGAATCTTGAAATCGGCCAAAATTTTGAATTCAGGATTTTGGAAAGCTAAAATCTTGAACTCGGCCAAAATCTTGAATTTAGGATTTTGGAAAGCTAAGATCTTGAAATCGGCGCAAATCTTGAATTCAGGATTTTGGAAATATAAGATCTTGAAATCGGCCAATATCTTGAATTCAGGATTTTGGAAAGCTAAGATCTTAAAATCTTGCAAAATCTTGAATTAAGGATTTTGAAAAGCTAAGATCTTGAAATCGCCCACAGTATTGAAATGAGGATTTGAAAAGCTAAGATCTTCAAATCGGCCAGACTCTTTAATTTACGATTTGAGAAAGGTAAAATCTTAAAATCGGCCAAAATCTTGAATTCACGATTTTGGAAAGCTAAGATCTTGAAATCGGCCAAAATCTTGAGTTCAGCATTTTGGAAAGCTAAGATCTTGAAATCGGCCAAAATATTGAATTCAGTGTTTTGGAAAGCTAAGATCTTGATATCGGCCTAAATCTTGAATTCAGGATTTTGGAAAGCTAAGCTCTTGAAATCGGCCAAAATCTTGAATTGAGGATCTTGGAAAGCTAAGATCTTAAAATCGGCAAAAATCTTGAATTCACGATTTTCGAAAGGTAAAATCTTGAAATCGGCAAAAATCTTTAATTCAAGATTTTGGAAAGCTAAAATCTTGATTTCGGCCAAAATCTTCAATTCAGGATTTTTAAAAGCTAAGATGTTAAAATCTTGCAAAATCTTGAATTCAGGATTTTGAAAAGCTAAGATCTTGAAATCGCCAAAAGTCTTGAAATGAGGATTTGAAAAGCTAAGATCTTGAAATCGGCCAAAATATTTAATTTACGATTTTAGAAAGGTAAAATCTTGAAATCGGCCAAAATCTTGAGTTCACGATTTTGGAAAGCTAAGATCTTGAAATCGACGCAAATCTTGGATTTAGTATTTTGGAAAGCTAAGATCTTGGAATCCGCCAAAATCTTGAGTTAAGCATTGTGGAAAGCTAAGATCTTGAAATCGGCCAAAATATTGAATTCAGGATTTTGAAATGCTAACATCTTGAAATCGGCCAAAATCTTGAATTGAGGATTTTGGAAAGCTAAGATCTTGAAATCGGCTAAAATCTGGAATTCAGGATTTTAAAAAGCTAACATCTTGAAATCGGCCAAAATCTTACATTTAGGATTTTGGAAAGCTAAGATCTTGACATTGGTTAAAATTTTAAATTGAGAGTTCTGGAAAGTTAAAGTCTTGGAATCCGCCAAAATCTTGAATTCAGGATTTTGGAAAGCTAAGATCTTGAAATCTGCGGAAGTCTTGTATTGAGAATTTTGGAAAGCTAAGATCTTGAAATCGCCCAAAATCTTGAATTTAAGATTTGGAAAGCTAAAATCTTCAAATCGCCCAAAATCTTGAATTCACGATTTTGGAAAGCTAAAATCTTTAAGACGGACAAAATCTTGAATTCACGATTTTGGAAAGCTAAGGTCTCGCAATCGGCCAAAATCTTAAATTAAGGATTTTTAAAAGCTAAAACCTTGAAATCGGCCAAAATCTTACATTTAGGATTTTGGAAAGCTAAGATCTTGACATTGGTTAAAATTTTAAATTGAGAGTTCTGGAAAGTTAAAGTCTTGGAATCCGCCAAAATCTTGAATTCAGGATTTTGGAAAGCTAAGATCTTGAAATCTGCGGAAGTCTTGTATTGAGAATTTTGGAAAGCTAAGATCTTGAAATCGCCCAAAATCTTGAATTTAAGATTTGGAAAGCTAAAATCTTCAAATCGCCCAAAATCTTGAATTCACGATTTTGGAAAGCTAAAATCTTTAAGACGGACAAAATCTTGAATTCACGATTTTGGAAAGCTAAGGTCTCGCAATCGGCCAAAATCTTAAATTAAGGATTTTTAAAAGCTAAAACCTTGAAATCGGCCAAAATCTTACATTTAGGATTTTGGAAAGCTAAGATCTTGACATTGGTTAAAATTTTAAATTGAGAGTTCTGGAAAGTTAAAGTCTTGGAATCCGCCAAAATCTTGAATTCAGGATTTTGGAAAGCTAAGATCTTGAAATGGGCAAAAATCTTGAATTGAAGGATTTTGGAAAGCTAAGATCTTGAAATCGGCCTAAGCCTTGAATTCTTTATTTTGAAATCCTAAGATCTTGAAATCGACCAAAATCTTGAATTCACGAATTTGGAAAGCTAACATCTTGAAATCGGCCAAAATCTTGAATTCCGGATTTTTAAAAGCTAAGATCTTGACATCGGCTAAAATCTTAAATTCAGGGTTCTGGAAAGGTAAAATCTTGAAATCCGCCAAAATTTTGAATTCAGGATTTTCCAAAGCTAATATCTTGAAGACGGCCAAAATCTTTAATTCCGGATTTTGGAAAGCTAAGATCTTGAAATCGGCCAAAATCTTGTATTCAGGATTTTCCAAAGCTTAAATCTTGAAATCGGCTAAAATCTTAAAATTGGCAAAAATCTTGAATTCACAATTGTGGAAAGCTAAAATCTTAAAATCGGTCAAAATCTTGAATTCACAATTTTAGAAAGCTAAAATCTCGAAATCGGCCAAAATCTTGAATTCAGGATTTTGGAAAGCTAAGATCTTAAAATCGGCCCACATCTTAAATTCAGGATTTTGGAAAGCTAAGATCTTGAAATCGTCCAAAATCTTAAATTCACGATTTTGGAAAGCTAAAATCTTGAAATCGGCCAAAATCTTTAATTCAGTAGTTTTAAAAGCGAAAATCTTTAAATCGGCACAAATCTTCAATTCATGATTTTGGAAAGCTAAGATCTTGAATTCGGCCAAAATCTTTAATTCAGGATTTTGGAAAGGTAAAATCTTGAAATCAGCCACAATCTTGAATTCACGATTTTGGAAAGCTAAAATCTTAAAATCGGCCAGAATCTTGAAGTCACGATTTTGGAAAGCTAAGATCTTGAAATCGGCCACAATCTTAAATTAAGGATTTTTGAACGCTAAAACCTTGAAATAGGTCAGAATCTTAAATTCAGGATTTTCGAAAGGTAAGATCTTGACATCGATTAAAATCTTAAATTCAGGGTTCTGGAAACGTAAAATCTTGAAATCCTCAAAAGTCTTGAATTCAGGATTTTGGAAAGCTAAGATCTTTAAACAGACCCAAATCTTGAATTTAGGATTTCGAAAAGCTAAAATCTTAAAATCAGCACAAGTCTTGAATTCAGGATTTTGAAAAGGTAAAATCTGAAAATCGGCAAAAATCGTGAATTCTGGCTTTTGGAAAGCTAAAATCTTGACATCGGCCGAAATCTTCAATTCTGGATTTTCGAAAGCTAAAATCTTGAAATCGGCCAAAATCTTGTATTCAGGATTTTGGAAAGCCAAAACCTCCAAATTGGCCTAAATCTTGAATTCAGGATTTGGGAAGGCTAACATCTTGAAATCGGCCAAAATCTTGAATTCATGATTTAGGAAAACTTAACTCTTGAAAGCGGCTAAGATCTTGACATCGGCCAAAACCTTGCATTCAGGATTCTGGAAAGCTAAGATCTTGAAATCGGCCAAAATCTTGAATTCACGATTTTGGAAAGCTAAGATCTTGAAATCGGCCAAAATCTTAAATTCAGGATGTTTTAAAGCTAAAATCTTGAAATCGGCACCAAACTTGAATTCTGAATTTTGGAAAGCTAAGATCTTGAAATCGACCAAAATCTTAAATCGAGGATTTTGGAAAGGTATAATCTTGAAATCGGCCAAAATCTTATATTCAGGATTTTGGAAAGCTAAAAACTTAAAATAAGCCAAAATATTAAATTCAGGATTTTTGAAACCTAAGATCTTCAAATCGTCCCAAATCTTAAATTCAGGATTTTGGAAAGCTAAGATCTTGAAATGGGGCCAACTCTTCAATTCAGGAGTTTAAAAAGCTAAGATTTTGACATCGGCCAAAATCCTTAATTTAGGATTTCTGAAAGCTCAGATATTGAAATCGGCCAAAATCTTGAATTCAGGATTTAGAAAGCTAAGATCTTCAAATCGGCCAAAATCTTGAATTCACGATTTTGGATAGCTGAAATCTTCAAATCATCCAAAAATCTTGAATTCACGAATTTGGAAAGCTAAGATCTTGCAATCGACGAAAATCTTAAAATAAGGATTTTTAAAAGCTAAAATCTTGAAATCGGCCAGAATCTTAAATTCAATATTTTGGAAAGCTTAGATCTTGACATCGGCCAAAATCTTATATTTAGGGTTCTGGAAAGGTAAAATGTTGGAATGCGCAAAAATCTTGAATTCAGGATTATCGAAAGCTAAGATCTCGAAATTGGCCAAAATCTTGAATTCAGGATCTTGCAAAGCTAAAATGTTGAAATTCGCCAAAAGCTTGAATTCAGGATTTTCCAAAGCTTAAATCTCAAAAGCGGCCAAGATCTTGAAATCGGCCAAAATCTTCAATTGAGGATTTTGGAAAGCTAAAATCTTGAAATTGGCAGAAATCTTGACTTCAGAATTTTGAAAAGCTAAAATCTTCAAATCGGCTAAAATCTTAAATTCAGGATTTTGGAAAGCTAAGATCTTGAAATCCGCCAAAATCTTGAATTCAGGATTTTTAAATCCTAACATCTTGAAATCGGCCAAAATCTTGAATTGAGGATTTTGGAAAGCCAAGATCTTGAAATTGGCCAAGATCTTGCATTGAGGGATTTGGAAAGCTAAGATCTTGAAATCCGCCAAAATCTTGAATTCAGGATTTTTAAATCCTAACATCTTGAAATCGGCCAAAATCTTGAATTGAGGATTTTGGAAAGCCAAGATCTTCAAATTGGCCAAGATCTTGCATTGAGGGATTTGGAAAGCTAAGATCTTGAAATCGGCCAAAATCTTGCATTCAGGATTTTGGAAAGCTAAACTCTTGAATTCAGGATTTTGGAAAGCTAAGATCTTGAAATCGGCCAAAATCTTGAATTCAGGATTTTAAAAACCTAAAATCTTAAAATCGGCCAAAATCTTGAATTCAGTATTTTTAAAAGCTAATATCTTAAAATCGGCACAAATCTTCAATTCAGGATTTTCTAAAGCTAAGATCTTGAAATCGGCCAAAATCTTAAATTAAGGATTTTCGAAAGCTGAGATCTTGACATCGGCTAAAATCTTAAATTCAGGGTTCTGGAAACGTAAAATCTTGGAATCCGCCAAAATCATGAATTTAGGATTTTGGAAAGTTTAAATCTTGAAATCGGCCAAAATCTTGAATTCAGGTTTTTGGAAAGCTAAGATCTTGAAATCGGCTAAAGTCTTGAATTAAGCATTTGGAAAGCTAAGATCTTTAAAGCGGCCCAAATCTTGAATTAAGGATTTCTAAAAGCTACAATCTTAAAATCGGCCAAAATCTTGAATTCAGGATTTTTTAAAGCTAAAATCTTAAAATCAGCACCAATCTTGAATTCACGATTTTGGAAAGGTAAAATCTGGAAATCGGCCAAAATCTTGAATTCTGCCTTTTAGAAAGGTGAAATGTTGAAATCGGCCAAAATGTTGAATTCTGGATTTTAGAAAGCTAAGATCTTGAAATCAGCCAAAATATTCAATTCAGGATTTTGGAAAGCTAAAATCTTGAAATCGGCCCAAATCTTGAATTCAGGATTTTGAAAACCTAAAATCTTTAAATCGGCCAAAATCTTGAATTCAGTATTTTTAAAAGCTAAAATCTTAAAATCGGCACAAATCCACAATTCAGGATTTTGGAAAGCTAAGATCTAGAATTCGGCCAAAATCTTCAATTGAGGATTTTGGAAAGGTAAAATCTTGAAATCCGCCATAATCTTGAGTTCACGATTTTGGAAAGCTAAAATCTTGAAATCGGTCAGAATCTTGAAGTCACGATTTTGGAAAGCTGAGATCTTGAAATCGGCCAAAATCTTAAATTAAGGGTTTTTGAACGCTAAAATCTTGAAATCGGCCAGAATCTTAAAATCAGGATTTTCGAAAGCTAAGATCTTGACATCGGCTAAAATCTTAAATTCAGGGTTCTGGAAACGTAAAATCTTGCAATCCGCCAAAATCTTGAATTCAGGATTTTGGAAAGTTTAAATCTTGAAATCGACCAAAATCTTGAATTCAGAATTTTGGAAAGCTAAAATCTGGAAATCGGCCAAAAGCTTGAATTGAGGATTTCTAAAACCTAAAATCTTAAAATCGGCAAAAATCTTGAATTCTGAATTTTGGAAAGCTAAGATCTTGAAATCCGCCAAAGTATTCAATTCAGGATTTTTGAAAGCTAAAATCTTAAAATCAGCACAAATCTTGAATTCAGGATTTTGGAAAGATAAAATCTGGAAATCGGCCAAAATCTTGAATTCTGGCTTTAGGAAAGCTAAAATCTTGAAATCGGCCAAAATCTTGAATTCAGGATTTTGGAAAGCTAGAATCTTCAAATTCGCCTAAAGCTTGAATTCAGGATTTGGGAAAGCTAACATCATGAAATCGGCCAAAATCTTGAATTCACGTTTCTGGAAACCTTAAATCTTAAAGTAGTAAGAAACGCTCTTCATCAAGAAACTTAAGCCCAATTTAAATATTTAAACGGACTCCATACGTCCGAAACTCTTTGTTTAATATTTTCTCACGTTACAATTTTTAATCAGCTATTGTTGTTTTTTTTTGTATTTATAGACCAAATATCACTAACTTATTTTGACTTGATAATGACGTTCAGCTAACGTCGAAACCTCGTCGCTTTTTAGCAATTTTTTTTTTAATCTTAAAATGATTTTAAGAAATGTTTTATCGCAATTTTTTATAGTAAAATCTTAAAATCGGCCGAAATGCTTAATTCAGGATTTCGGAAAGGTAAAATCTTGAAATCGGACAAAATCTTGAATTCAGGATATTGGAAAGCTAACATCTTGACATCGGCCAAAATGTTGAATTCGGGATTTTTGAAAGCTAAAATCTTGAAATCGGCACAAATCTTGAATTCAGGATTTCGGAAAGCTAAGATCTTAAATTCAGCCAAAATCTTCAATTCAGGATTTTGGAAACCTTAGCTCTTGAAATCGGCCAAAATTTTGAATTCAGGATTTTGGAAAGCTAAGAACTTAAAATCGACCAAAATCTTGAATTCAGCATTTTGGAAAGGTAAAATCTTGAAATCGGCCAAAATTTTCAATTCAGGATTTTGGAAAGCTATAATCTTCAAATCGGCCAAAATCTTGTATTCAAGATTTTGGAAAGCTTAGCTCTTGAAATCTGCCAAGATCTTGAATTCAGGATTTTGGAAAGCTAAGATCTTGACATCCGCCAAAATCTTCAATTCCGGATTTTTGAAAGCTAAAATCTTGAAATCGGCACAAATCTTGAATTCAGGATTTTGGAGAGCTATGATCTTTAATTTCGCCAAAATCTTGAATTCAGGATTTTGGAAAGCTAACATCTTGAAATCGGCCCAAATCTTGAATTCAGGATTTTGGAATGCTAATATCTTGAAATCGGGCTAAATCTTCAAGTTAGGATTTTGGAAAGCTTAGAGTTTGAAATCGGCCAAACTCTTGAATTCAGGATTTGGAAAGCTAAGATCTTCAAATCGGCCAAAATCTTGAATTCACGATTTTGGAAAGCTAAAATCTGGAAATCGGCCAAAATCTTAAATTAAGCATTTTTGAAAGGTAAAATCTTGAAATCGGCCAGAATCTTAAATTCAGCATTTTGAAAAGATAAGATCTTCACATCGGCCAAAATCTTAATTTCAGGGTTCTGGAAATGTAAAATCTTGGAATCTGCCAAAATCTTGAACTCTAGATTTTCGAAAGCTCAGCTCTTGAAATTGGCCAAGATCTTGAATTCAGGATGTTAATAAACTAAGATCTTGAAATCGGCTAAAATCTTGAATTCAGGACTATGGCAAGCTAAAATGTTGAAATCGGCCCAAATCATGAATTCTGGATTTTGGAAAGCTTAAATCTCGAAATCGGCGAAAATCTTGAATTCCGGATTAAGGAAAGCTAAGATCTTGAAATCGGCCTAATTCTTGATTTTAGTATTTGGGAAAGCTTTAATCTTGAAATCGGCAAAAATCTTGAAATCGGCCAAAATCATGAATTCTGGATTTTGGAAACCTTAAATCTCGAAATCGGCCAACATTTTAAATTCAGGATTTAAGAAAGCTAAGATCTTGAAATCGGCCTAAGTCTTGAATTCCGGATTTTAAAAAGCTTTAATCTTGAAATCGGCAAAAATCTTGAAAACGGCCAAAATCTTGAAAACAGGATTTTTGAAAGGTAAGGTCTTGAAATCGGCTAAAGTCTTGAATTCACGATTTTTGAAAGCTAAAATCTTGAAATCGGCCTAACTCTTGAATTCAGGATTTGGAAAAGCTTTAATCTTGAAATTGGGAAAAATCTTGAATTCAGGATTTTCGAACGCTAAGATCTTAAAATCGGCCAAAATCCTGAATTCAGAATTTTTGAAAGCTAAAATCTTGAAATCGCAGAAATCTTGAATTCAGGAATTTGGAAACCTAAGATCTTGAAATCGGCCAAAATCTTAAATTCAGGATTGTGGAAAGCCATGATCTTGAAATCCGCCGAAATCTTAAATTGAGAATTTTGGAAAGCTAAGATCTTGAAATCGCCCAAAATCTTGAATTTTGGATTTAGAAAGCTAAAATCTTCAAATCGCCCAAAATCTTGAATTCACGATTTTGGAAAGCTAAAATCTTCAAGACGGACAAAATCTTGAATTCACGATTTTGGAAAGCTAAAGTCTCGAAATCGGCCAAAATCTTAAATTAAGGATTTTTGAAAGCTAAAATCTTGAAATCGGCCAGAATCTTAAATTCAGGATTTTGGAAAGCTAAGATCTTGACATTGGCTAAAATCTTAAATTCAGGGTTCTGGAATGTTAAAGTCTTGGAATCCGCCAGAAACTTGAATTCAACATTTTCGAAAGCTAAGATCTTGAAATGGGCAAAAATCTCTAATTGAAGGATTTTGGAAGGCTAAGATCTTAAAATCGGCCAAAACCTTGAATTCTTTATTTTGAAATGCTAAGATCTTGAAATCGCCCAAAATCTTGAATTCAGAATTTGGAAAGCTAAGATCTTTAATTCACCCAAAATCTTGAATTCACTATTTTGGAAACGTAAAATCTACAAATCGGCCGTAATCTTGAATTCAGGATTTTGGAAAGCTAAATTCTTGAAATCGGCCAAAATCTTGAATTCACGATTTTGGAAAGCTAACATCTTGAAATAGGCCAAAATCTTAAATTCAGGCTTTTGGAAAGCTAAGATCTTGACATCGGCTAAAATCTTAAATTCAGGGTTCAGGAAAGGTAAAATCTTGAAATCCGCCAAAATTTTGAATCCAGGATTTTCGAAAGCTAAGATCCTGAAGTCGGCCAAAATCTTGAATTCAGGATTTTAAAAAGCTAAGATCTTGAAATCGGCCAAAATTTTGAATTCAGGATTTTGCAAAGCTTCAATCTTGAAATCGGCTAAAATCTTGAAATTGGCAAAAATCTTGAATTCACAATTGTGGAATGGTAAAATCTTGAAATCGGCCAAAATCTTGAATTCAGGATTATGCAAAACTTAAATCTTGAAATCAGCTAAATTCTTGAAATTGGCCAAAATCTTGAATTAGAGATTTTGGAAAACTAAAATCTTGAAATTGGCCGAAATATTGAATTCACAATTTTGGAAAGCTAAAATCTGGAAATCGGCCAAAATCTTGGATTCAAGATTATGAAAAGCCAAGATCTTGAAATCGGCCAAAATCTTAAATTTAGGTTTTTGGAAAGCTAAGATCTTGAAATCGGCCAAAATCTTGAATTCAGGATTTTGAAAAGCTAAGAACTTGAAATCGCCCAAAATCTTGAATTTAGGATTTGGAAAGCTAAGATCTTTAAATCATGCAAAATCTACAATTCACGATTTTGGGAAGCTAAACTCTTCAAGACGGACAAAATCTTGAATTCACGATTTTGGAAAGCTAAGGTCTCGCAATCGGCCAAAATCTTAAATTAAGGATTTTTGAAAGCTAAAACCTTGAAATCGGCCAAAATCTTACATTCAGGATTTTGGAAACCTAAGATCTTGACATTGGTTAAAATCTTAAATTGAGAGTTCTGGAAAGTTAAAGTCTTGGAATCTGCCAAAATCTTGAATTCAGGATTTTGGAAAGCTAAGATCTAGAAATGGGCAAAAATCTTGAATTGAAGGATTTTGGAAAGCTAAGATCTTGAAATCGCCCTAAGCCTTGAATTCTTATTTTTAAATGCTAAGATCTTGAAATCGCCCAAAATCTTGAATTCAGAATTTGGAAAGCTAAGATCTTCAATTCGCCCAAAATCTTGAACTCACTATTTTGGAAACGTAAAATCTTCAAATCGGCCATAATCTTAAATTCACGATTTTCGAAAGCTAAATTCTTGAAATCGACCAAGATCTTGAATTGACGATATTGGAAAGCCAACATCTTGAAATCGGCCAAAATCTTGAATTCCGGATTATTAAAAGCTAAGATCTTGACATCGGCTAAAATCTTAAATTCAGGGTTCTGGAAAGGTAAAATCTTGAAATCCGCCAAAATTTTGAATTCCGGATTTTGGAAAGCTAAGATCTTGAAATCGGCCAAAATCTTGTATTCAGGATTTTTCAAAGCTTAAATCTTGAAATCGGCTAAAATCTTAAAATTGGCAAAAATCTTGAATTCACAATTGTGGAAAGCTAAAATCTTGAAATCGGTCAAAATCTTGAATTCACAATTTTTGAAAGCTAAAATCTCGAAATCGGCCAAAATCTTAAATTCAGGATTTTGGAAAGCTAAGATCTGGAAATCGGCCAACATCTTCAATTGAGAATTTTGTAAAGCTAAGATCTTGAAATCGCCCAAAATCTTAAATTCACGATTAGGAAAGCTAAGTTCTTCAAATCGTCCAAAATCTTTAATTCACGATTTTGGAAAGCTAAAATCTTGAAATCGGCCAAAATCTTTAATTCAGGATTTTGGAAAGGTAAAATCTTGAAATCGGCCAGATTCTTGAAGTCACGATTTTGGAAAGCTAAGATCTTGAAATCGGCCACAATCTTAAATTAAGGATTTTTGAACGCTAAAACCTTGAAAAAGGCCAGAATCTTAAATTCAGGATTTTGGAAAGGTAAGATCTTGACATCGGGTAAAATCTTAAATTCAGGGTTCTGGAAACGTAAAATCTTGGAATCTTCCAAAGTCTTGAATTCAGGATTTTGGAAAGCTAAGATCTTTAAACAGGCCAAAATCTTGAATTTAGGATTTCGAAAAGCTAAAATCTTAAAATCAGCACAAGTCTTGAATTCAGGATTTTGAAAAGGTAAAATCTGAAAATCGGCAAAAATCGTGAAGTCTGGCTTTTGGAAAGCTAAAATCTTGACATCGGTCGAAATCTTCAATTCTGGATTTTGGAAAGCTAAGATCTTGAAATCAGCCAAAATATTAAATTCAGGATTTTGGAAACCTAAAATCTTGAAATCGGCCAAAATCTTGAATCGAGGATTTTGGAAAGGTATAATCTTGAAATCGGCCAAAATCTTATATTCAGGATTTTGGAAAGCTAAAAACTTAAAATAAGTCAAAATATTAAATTCAGGATTTTTGAAACCTAAGATCTTCAAATCGTCCCAAATCTTAAATTGAGGATTTGGAAAGCTAAGATCTTGAAATGGGGCCAACTCTTCAATTCAGGAGTTTAAAAAGCTAAGATTTTGACATCGGCCAAAATCTTGAATTCAGGATTTGGAAAGCTAAGATCTTCAAATCGGCCAAAATCTTGAATTCACGATTTTGGATAGCTGAAATCTTCAAATCGTCCAAAATCTTGAACTCACGAATTTGGAAAGCTAAGATCCTGCAATCGACGAAAATCTTAAAATAAGGACTTTTACAAGCTGAAATCTTGAAATCGGCCAGAATCTTAAGTTCAATATTTTGGAAAGCTTAGATCTTGACATCGGCCAAAATCTTATATTTAGGGTACTGGAAAGGTAAAATGTTGCAATGCGAGAAAATCATGAATTCAGGATTTTCGAAAGCTAAGATCTTGAAATTGGCCAAAATCTTGAATTCGGGATCTTGCAAAGCTAAAATGTTCAAATTCGCCAAAAGCTTGAATTCAGGATTTTCCAAAGCTTAAATCTCAAAAGCGGCCAAGATCTTGAATTCAGGATTTTGGAAAGCTAAAATCTTGAAATCGGCCAAAATCTTGAATTCAGGATTTTGGAAAGCTAACATCTTGAAATCGGCCAAAATCTTGAATTCACGATTTTTCAAAGCTAAAATCTCGAAATCGGCCAAAATCTTGAATTCAGGATTGGGGAAAGCCAAGATCTTGAAATCGGCCTAAGTCTTGAATTCAGGATTTTGGAAAGCTTTAATCTTGAAATCGGTAAAAATCTTTAAATTGGCCAAAATCTTGAATTCAGGATTTTGGAAAGCAAAGATCTTGAAATCGGCCAAAATCTTGAATTCACGATTTTGGAAAGCTCAGCTCTTAAAATCGCCCAAGTTCTTGAATTCAGGACTTGGAAAAACTAAGATCTTGAAATCGGCTAAATTCTTGAATTTACTAATTTTGGAAAGGTAAAATCTTAAAATCGGCCAAAATGCTTAATTCAGGATTTCGGAAAGGTAAAATCTTGAAATCCGCCAAAATCTTCAATTCAGGATATTGGAAAGCTAAGATCTAGACATCGCAGAAAATCTTGAATTCACGATTTTTGTAAGCTAAAATCTTGAAATCGGCACAAATGTTGAATTGAGGATTTTGTAAAGCTAAGATCTTGAATTCGGGCAAAATCTTGAATTCAGGATTTTGGAAAGCTAGGATCTCGAAATCGGCCCAAATCTTGAATTCATGATTTTCGAATGCTAAGATCTTAAAATCGGCCAAAATCCTGAATTCTGGATTTTTGAAAACTAAAATCTTGAAATTAGCACAAATCTTGAATTCAGGATTTTGGAAAGCTAAGATCTTGAAATCGGCCCAAATCTTGAATTCATGATTCTGGAATGCTAAGATCTTAAAATCGGCCAATATCCTGAATTCAGGATTTTTTAAAACTAAAATCTTGAAATCGCACAAATCTTGAATTCAGGATTTTGGAAAGCTTAGCTCTTAAAATCGGCCAAAATCTTGAATTCAGGATTTTGGAAAGCTAACATCTTGAAATCGGCCAAAATCTTGAATGAAGCATTTTGGAAAGGTAAAATCTTGAAATCCGCGAAAATCTTGAATTCTGGAGTTTGGAAAGCTAAAATCTTGAAATGGGCCAAAGTCTTGAATTCATGATTTTGGAGAGCTAAAATCTTGAAATCGACCAAAATCTTGAATTCGGGATTTTGGAAAGCTAAGATATTAAAATTGGCCAAAAACTTGAATCCAGGATTTTTAAAAGCTAAGAGCTTGAAATCACCCAAACTCTTGAATTCAGGATTTTGGAAAGCTAAGATATTGAAATCGGCCAAAAACTTGAATCCAGGATTTTGAAAAGCTAAGATCTTTAAATCACCGAAAATCTTGAATTTAGGATTTGGAAAGCTAAGATCTTCAGATCGGCCCAAATCATGAATTCACGATTTTGGAAAAGTAAAATCTTGAAATCGGCCAAAATATTGATTTTACGATTTTGGAAAGCTAAAATCTTGAAATTACCCAAAATCTTAAATCAAGAATTTTTGAAAGCTAAAATCTTGAAATCGGCCAGAATCTTGAATTCATAATTTTGAAAAGCTTTAATCTTGAAATCGGCAAAAATCTTGAAATAAGCCAAAATCTTGAATTCAGGATTTTGGAAACCAAAGATCTTGAAATCGGCCAAAATCTTGAATTCACGATTTTGAAAAGCTCAGCTCTTAAAATCGGCGAAGATCTTGAATTCAGTATTTGGAAAAACTAACATCTTGAAATCGGCCAAAATCTTAAATTGAGGATTTTGGAAAGCTAAGATCTTGAAATCGGTCAAAATCTTGAATTGAGAATTTTGGAAAGCTAAGATCTTGAAATCGGCCAAAATCTTGAATTCAGGATTTTGGAAAGGTAAAAACTTGAAATCGGACAAAATCTTGAATTCAGGATTTTGGAAAGCTAAAATCTTGAAATCGGCCAAAATCTTCAATTCAGGGTTTTGACAAGCTAAGCTCTTGAAATCGGCCAAGATCTTGAATTGAGGGTTTTGGAAAGCTATGATCTTAAAATCGGTCAAAATGTTGAATTCAGGATTTTGAAATGCTAACATCTTGAAATCGGCCAAAATCTTGAATTGAGGATTTTGGAAAGCTAAGATCTTGAAATCGGCTAAAATCTGGAATTCTGGATTTTGGAAAGCTAAGATCTTGACATCGGCTAAAATCTTAAATTCAGGGTTCTGGAAACGTAAAATCTTGGAATCCGCCAAAATCTTGAATTTAGGATTTTGGAAAGTTTAAATCTTGAAATCGGCCAAAATCTTGAATTCAGGTTTTTGGAAAGCTAAGATCTTGAAATCGGCTAAAATCTTCAATTTAGAATTTTGGAAAGCTAAAGTCTTGAAATCGTCCAAAGTCTTGAATTAAGCATTTTGGAAAGCTAATATCTGGAAATCGGCCAAAATCTTGAATTCTCGATTTTCGAAAGCTAAGATCTTGAAATCAGGCAAAATATTCAATTCAGGATTTTGGAAACCTAAAATCTTGAAATCGGCCCAAATCTTGAATTCAGGATTTTGAAAACCTAAAATCTTAAAATCGGCCAAAATCTTGAATTCAGTATTTTTAAAAGCTAAAATATTAAAATCCGCACAAATCTTCAATTCAGGATTTTGGAAAGCTAAGATCTCGATTTCGGCCAAAATCTTCAATTCAGGATTTTGGAAAGGTAAAATCTTGAAATCCGCCATAAACTTGAATTCACGATTTTGGAAAGCTAAAATCTTGAAATCGGTCAGAATCTTGAAGTCGCGATTTTGGAAAGCTGAGATCTTGCAATCAGCCAAAATCTTAAAATCAGGATTTTGGAAAGCTAAGATCTTGACATCGACTTAAATCTTAAATTCAGGGTTCTGGAAACGTAAAATCTTGGAATCCGCCAAAATCTTGAATTCAGGATTTTGGAAAGTTTAAATGTTGAAGTCGACCAAAATCTTGAATTCAGAATTTTGGAAAGCTAAAATCTAGAAATCGTCCAAAGTCTTGAATTTAGGATTTTTGAGAGCTAAAATCTTAAAATCAGCACAAATCTTGAATTCAGGATTTTGGAAAGCTAAGATCTTGAAATCGGCCAAAATCTTGAATTCAGAATTTTTTAAAGCTAAAATCTTGAAATCGGCAAAAATCTTGAATTTAGAATTTAGGAAAGCTAAGACCTTGAAATCGGCCTAATTCTTGAATTCAGGATTTTGGAAAGGTAAAATCTTGAAATCGGCCAAAATCTTGTATTGAGGATTTTGGAAAGGTATAATCTTGAAATCGGCCAAAATCTTGAATTCAGGATTTTTGAACGCTAAAATCTTGACATCGGCCAGAAACTTAAATTCAGGATTTTCGAAAGCTAAGATCATGAAATCGGCCAAATTCTTGAATTCAGGATTTTGGAAAGGTAAAATTTTGAAATCGGCCTA